ATGGGGCCCAGCACCAATGAAGGCTCTGCGACAGGTCCAGGCAGCTGTGCAAGCTGCACTTAGACCATATTGTCCAACAAATTCAACAATGCTTTAAGTGTCAGGAGCACATAGGGAAGCTGTTTGGAGCCTTTTACAGGCCACTATTGGTGAACTGCAATGCACGTATTTAGGGTACTGAAACAAAGCCCTACTATTCTCCACAGATAATTACTTTCCTTTCAAGAAACAGCTCTTGGCCAATTACTAGGCCATAGTACATACAAACTGAACATGTCCCACAGGCTACCAAGTTACCATGGGAACTGTGCTGTTCATCAGGAACTGGTTGTTATTTAATCTACCAAACCATAAAGTCAGACATTTATAGCAGCTCTCCATCACCAAGTTAAAGTCATATATTTGTGAGACTGGGCCCATGAAAGTCTTGAGGGCATAAGTAAGTTACATTTTAAGAAGTGTTCCAAATACCTGCAGTCCTCCTTTGCTGCTACATTACCTTTTCTTACAGCCCACACCTAAGACTTCATGGAGCATTCCCTATAATCAGTTGACTGAGGAAGAGAAGACTAGGGCCTGGTCTATAGATGGTTCTGCATGATACATGGGCATCACCTAGAAGTGAACAGCTGTAGCTCTGTAGCCCATTTCTGGGACATCCCTAAAAGAAAGTGTTGAAGGTGAAATCCTCCCATTGGAAAGAACCTTGAGCAACTGGTTGTTCACTCTGCTTGGAAGGAGAAATGGCCAGATATACAGCTATGACTCATGAGCTGTAGCCATTGGTTTGCTGGATGGTCAGGGACTTAGAAGGAACATATCTGGAAAAATGGAAGAGGTATATAGATAAATCTCTTCCAATAGACAAAAAAAAAATTGTGAAGATATCTGTGTCTCAGGTGAATGCCCACCAAAGGGTAACCTCAATAAAAGAGGATTTTAATATTCAAGTGGATAGGATGACCTGTTCTGTGGATACCAGTCAGTCTGTATCTTTATCCACCTCAATGGGTTCAGGAAACTAAATGGACATGGTGAAAGGGTTAAAAGTAATATGTGGGCTCAGCAACATAGACTTTCACTCACCAAGGCTGTCCTGGCTGTGGCCACTGATGGGTGCCACAGCAGAGACCAACACTGAATCCAAAATACATACCAGTCCTCCAGGTGAACAGGCAATTATATGATGATGACTTGATTATAATGGTCTGCTTCTATCATGCAAGGGGCAGCATTCTACACTTATTGGAATAGACACTTAATTCTGGGTATTGATTCACCTTCCATTTATGCAGTACTTCTACCAAAACTACCATCTGTAAATTTAGAATGCTTCATCCACTATCATGGTATGGCACATGATATTGCTTCTAATCAAGGAACTTCCTCCACAGCAAATAAAATAAAGCAATGGGCCCAGACTTTATTGTTCTTATCATGTTCCTAACCATCCTAATGCAGCTGGCTTGACAGAATGATAGAGTGGGTTTTTGAAAGCTCAGTTAGGTGGCAAAAATTTATAGGGCTGGGACAAGGCTGTCTGGGAGGCTATATGCTCTCATTCAGCATCCAATGTTTGCTGCTTTTTCTACCACAGTGAGGATTCATGGCTCCAGGATTCAAAGAGTGGTAATGGGAGTGGCACCACTTATTATCATCCTTAGTAATGCACTAGCCATTACTAAGGGTAAAGGACAAAGTTTTTGTTTCTTGTCTCTATGACTTTATACTCTGCTGGCCTGAAGGTCTCAGTTCCAAAGGCAGGAATGAGTATGCCAGGAAATATAACAATAATTCAACTGAACTAGAGATTAAAACTGCCACCAGCTACTTTGGGGTCCTCATGCCTCTAAATGAATTGGCAAAAAAGGGAGTTCCTGTGCTCTCTGGGGTGACTGATCCTAACTATCATGGATGGTCAGGGACTTAGAAGGAACATATCTGGAAAAAATATGTTCATGGGGAAATTGGACTATATTTCACGATGGAGTTTGGGAAAAGTATGTCAAAAATAAAAGAGATCCCTCAGGGTATCTATTAATAATATCATACCCTGTAATTAAAGTAATGGAAAACCACAACTACCCAGTTCAGGCAGGTCTACTAATGGCCTAGACCATTAGGTCTACTAATGGTTTTAGGGTCATCCTACCAGTAAAGAAATATAACCAGCTGAGGTGCAAAGGCAATCCAGAATTGAAGAAGGCAGTTATAAATACCAGCCAAGATCATGTAAATGAGAATTATAACTGTCATGAGTATTTCTTCCTTGATTTTGTTATGAATATGTATAAGTGGATATATACTAAGCATGTCTTTCACTTTTATCCGTTTATCATGAACATATGATATATAAACTTTATATCAATATTATTTTAAGTACTATTTACATTGTAATATTTAAGTTACAGGATAGAAAGTAGAAGAATAAACATTACCCAAGGACTTATCTGGAAAGAGTTAGTGTATTTCTAGTTGTATGCAGAAAAGTTGTATCAAGTTATGTGGAATTATAATTGTGTTATTATATTTATTTGGAAATTAATTATGCTTTTAGAAAATGTGTATGAGTGCCTAGTTGAAAAGGGTGGACCATAATGGTTAGTTTTTTTTGTTAACATGACTAGGCCATAGTACTCAACACTGGGTAAAACAGCAGCCCAGATGTCACTGTGAAAGTACTTTTTAGATGAGATTATCATTTAATTCAGTAGACTTTGGGTAAAACAGATTACCCTCCATAATGTGGATGGGCCTTATCTATAAGACATTTAGAGAAAAAGACTGATATTATAAAGAAGAGGGGAACCTACCCTCACATTGCCTTCTGCCTTAAACTGCAACATTGACTGTTTTTCCTGGGTCTCTAGTCTAAGGACCTGCTCTCAAGATTTCAGAACTGCCAGCCTCCACATTCAGTGGAGGCTATTACTTAAATAAATACTTCCCTCATCTCTTTCTGTCTCTTTATATACAAACATATCTCATTGCCTCTGTTTCTCTGGAAAACCACAACATTCACGCACATGCAGGGAAATAAATCTTAACGGAACTTTGTATTTTGAGAAGCACTTAATTATTTATACTTTAAAACTTCAAACTTTAAATCTTTAATGAAATTAAAGATATTAAGCTTAAAATCCACTAAAGAATATTAATATATCTTTGGGGGATAGTCATATGAAAGAAAATCTAATTCAAAATTATAAGTGATTGAAACATTCATAAGGAGCTCATTTATTGAAATGTTCTAGATTTAATTGTAATTTTGGCTAAGGATTGAAATTATTTTTAAAGCTTCACCAACTCAGGACCCATACTTTTTTTTGTACTGGGGATTTAAGCGAGGGGTGCTTTACCACTGTTATTGTTTGCATGTGAGGTGTCCCCCAAAAGCTCATGTATGAGACAATGCAAGAAGGTTCAGAGGAGAAATGATTGGGTTGTAATAGTCTTAACCCAATCAGTGATTTAATCCCCTGAGAGGAATTCACTGAGTGGTAACTGAAATGATAGGGTATGGCTGGAGGAGGTGGGAATTAGGGCATAGCTTTGGTGTATATATCTGTATCTGAAAAGTGGAGTCTTCCTGTTCTCATATGAGCTGCTTCCCTATGCCACACACTCTGCCATGAATGTTCAACCTCACCTCAAGCCCCAAAGAATGGAGCCGACCTTCTATAAACTAAGATTTCTGAAACTGTGAGCCCTCAAATAAACTTTTCCTCCTCTACAATTGTTCTGGTCAAATCTTTTAGTCACAGCAGTGAAAAAGCTGACTAAAACAACCACTGAGTCGCATTCCCAGCCCTTTTCATTTTTTAAATTTTGAGACAGGGTATTGCTAAGTTTTGTAGGGTCTTGCTAAGTTGTTGAGGCTAGCATCAAATTTGCAAACTTGCAATCTTTCTGCCCTAGCTTTCCGAGTTGCTGGGATTATAAGTGCGTGCCACTGTGCCTGGCAGGACCTATACTTATACACAGTTTTCTGGGAGATGGAGAAGGGGAAAGAGTTAAAAAAAAAACTACTGGATATTCAAAAGTACAGTTCTGAGTCAAATGCAGAACCTTGTCAAATGGTTTTTGAAAGCCTGCAAAATAATCTAGAAACATTCGAATAGTAGAGACAATCCTGTAAATAGTCATGGAAAAAAGTATTCCTTACCATAGCTATTACCCAAACTCCTTTAGACTTAAACTCTAACATTACAACTCAAGGAAGAATTATATTCTTCTATATGACTAGTATATTCTAAAACTGCTTTCCTTAGTTATACCCTAAGAAATAGAGGGGGATCTTCTCTTTCACTTCAGACCTTACAAATCTTATTCTCCTATAAAGTGAACTAGAACTAGACTATGTTTTTGATCTGCCAGTCCTGGAGTCTCAAAACTATGTAGGATTTTATGCCTTCTACTTTATTTTTTTCTCTGATGGGTCTTTGATCCCTCTCTAGGCTATACTAGTTTATAGGTAGTTATCTACATTTTTTTAACATGAGGGGATGAAGGCTGATATTTCCTACTATACCATCTTGGTGACTTCACCTCCTACTGTGTCTTCTCTAGTACTAAGTCATTTGTACTAGAAAAGAAGAGAAACATACTATGTCAGTGCAATTATGAAGGACCTGGCCTAGAGCCTCACAGTATGGTTGGCACATGGACTTGTAACTACCAGTTTCTATGTCAACCCAGTGACAGCAACAACCTTTCTTCCTCTCATTCTTGGTGGGTCTCTAGGCTTGACAGTAAACCATGGAGCAATAAACATTTTAAAAATAAAGGCTGCTTAGTGATGTCACATGGTCAGATTCCTTACCTAATTTTAAAATTTATTTGCTAATTGAATATCACATTTCTCTTACCATGAAAAAATGTTTTTAAGAATGTTTTCTTAAAAAAAATGATAAGATTTTAGTTTGAAAGCTTAATTCTGGGAACTTTTTTGCTGAAAAGAGTATGGTACAAATTTGTGTAGCACCCGTTCCATTTCTTACCAGGTCCCGTTGATCCTCCTGTACCAGATCCATTTTGTGAACCAAGCAAAAAATTTTGGCATCTGGAGAGTTCTGGAGAATGGCTTCCAGGCATGACTGATAATAGTGCATGTCCTTTTCAAGTTCGCGGCTCTCCACGTCAAAGACATAAATCAGAACCTCCACATTTCGGAAGATATTGTCCCGTTGGCTAGTGAAATAATTTTCCATGAAGGTGTCTTGTCTGGTAGGAAAAACAGATAGTAAGCAAGTCCTCAGTTCAAGCTTCATCAATGCAAAAGATAATCATAAGGCTACAATTTATAGGGCAAACAATAGCAAATAATTCTGGTCTTACCTTACCTCTTTTTGTGTATGTGTGTGGTGCTAGGGATTGAATCCAGGGCCTTGTACATGCAAGGCAAGCACTCTACCAACTGAGCTATATCCCCAGTCCCTTTACCTTACCTCTTGAGACACAACTTGCATCACCCTCTGCTCCTCTTTTGGTGCTCTATACACATAGACCCTTTCCCAGTTCAAGTGGGCCATGGTTTATCCACCATAGGGCCTTTATACATGCTGCTCACTCTGTCTCTGATACTACTCCCATGCTTTTTCATCTAATTAATTCTTCCTTGTTCCTTTAGGTTTCAATTCAATCCACATTTCCTCATACAAACTATGACTTTCCCTGACATCCCTGATTTGAGCCAATGTACTTACCATAGGCTCATTTACCAATACATTACTCTCATTGCCAACACCTACTACAAGTATGACATTACACATACTTATATGGGTCTTTAATTAATGACATTCATTTCCCTGGACAGCAAGACAAGAACCATGTTTGGTACTATTCCTCAGTTTCTCAGATTTAAAGGAGTGTCAGATGCTCAATGAAATTTTTCTGAATGAAGAACTCAATAGTCAAATATTCTAAACTATATGAAAATAACTGTAATGATAATTTTTTAGAAGAATGTTGGTCTTTGCTTCTTACGCTGTATGCCACTTCCCAAGAAGTCCTCAGTCAATAGCTAGACAGCAGAAAATAGTACCATTGTGTAGCAGGGGATGGGGGAGTGGGATATGAATCTAGGTTCTAGTTCTGTATCTTGCTATTAATAAGCTACTTGACCTTGGAAGATTATATCTTAAAGCAAGGGACTTGGACTAATATCTTTACACAGACTAGAGAACTGGAAATAATGACAATGAGTAAGGATTACATGGAGAGAGCTGCTAGGATGTTAAGTGATCCATCTGCTAACAGGAATGAAATCATTTTCTTAGATAGTATTTGGCTATCACATTACCCTTTCAACAAATATTCACTGAGCTCCTATTCTTTATTTGGTTTTATACTAAGGCCTGGGAAACAGAGCTGACAATAATATCTACTTATTTTGTGAGACACTGTGGTATGTATTTTTATATAAAATCTCAATTATCAAAATAACCCTGAGTTGGTACCATTACTATTAATTTTGTACCAGAAACTGTGGCTCAGAGTTTAAATGATTTACCCAAGATAAAACAGCTAACAAAGCTGAGATATAAACCCCAACCTAACTCCAGTACCTATATTCCTAACCACTGTGCACTACATACTGCTGCTTCATATCAGAGATATAAATGGCCAAAGAGTAGCACTGAACATTGGCATAGAAGCACAGTGAGTGTGTGAATTTGTGATGAAAAAAAAAATTTTTTTTTTTTTTTGGTGAGTGCGTTGGTCATGAGAAGAGCTGTCTCCTACTTTCTAACAGTGTGTAACTCAGCCAGATTGCACATGCTCAGAGTTTGATCTATAGTGCTTAGATTGCCTGGAGATAATTTTTTTAATTATTAAAAACAAATTATTATGGTGTGGTAGCTAAAAGCTTGGCACTTGTGTCAAATCATCTAACACCGCAAAAGAAATCCAATTTATGCCCCTGCAAAATAGAGAATGCTTAACCTATACTACACATATCTAGGTGAAGTTTGTGTTAGAGATACTTAAACATGTCACATACAGAAGGCACGTCCACAGTTAACAAAAATCAGAGATCTTTATTTAATCAAGTACCAAGTATGAAATAATTCTATCCAATGTATCTATTATAAATAACAGTTACTGTAGGTATATTTGTCATACTGATTATACTAGAAGCCATGGTTACTGCCATTGGCTTTACAAACAAGTAAGTAGATGATGGTACTTACCCACCACAATCCCACAGGTTCAATACCAGGTTTCCCAGAAATCGAACATGAGAATGTTCTACATCAACTGGAAGACAAGTATGACAAATCTAGTAATTGCAGCATGCAAGGTGAAATTCAAAATAAGCAAAGCACTAACCCATGGAATTTAGAAGGACCAAAGTGGAGTGAAATGCTCAAAGCCACAACAAGAAGGTGATTTTCAGCTTAGTAATGTGGTTTAGTGGCAAGGTGGGTACCTAAACTACCCTGAGCTACAGAATTGGCTCTTATGTAAGTCATTTTACTTTTTAGTAGTTTAGTACTCAGAGTAGAAACAATCTCCAATTATACTACCAATGTTAAATTTCCACATATAAGACAGCAACATATACCATTTAATAGATCTTCCTGTCCCACCTGCCCTCACCAACTTCCCCCATGAAAAAGTAAAACAACAATAACAAAAACCGAACACAAAACAAACATAAAACATAACCAAACTAACTCCTGTCTTGATTCCTTTTCAGTTAATGACTCTACGTTTCCCCCTATTGTGTCTCCTAGGTTCTCATTCAATTCATTGCTAGTTCTTTGAAATCTCTCAATTCCATTATCATCTCATGCAAACACTGCTACAAGAGATCCATAACTGAACTCCCTACCAGAAAAACCTTACCCATTTTACATCGTCCTATAGGCTACTGTCAGGCTCATCTTCTTAACACTACTTTGAACATGTCACTCCCCATTCAAATACTTTCAATGGCTCCTCCGTCCCTAAAGGGGGACAGTCAAGGTCCTTCACAATTTGGCTTCCAATCTACCTATATATCCCCCAATAATTCACATTAATAAAACCTTTCATTCCAGCCCAATTTGGCTTATTCACAGTCCTCCCAAACCCCACTACCTCCCCAACCCCAACATACCTTACATCAGGGGTCGCAAACTTGCTAATAGGGGCCAGGCCAGTAAACATACAATCAAAGTTGGCCACATATAGAGGATAAACATCCATCCAATAGAATGGGCAGCAGTTACTGAGCTCTTGCAAGAATGCTGGCTCAGGTTTGCCAGATCTTTCAATTTTTCAATAGCAGTGGGAAATTCAGATTTTTATGAAAACTTTGACATGTGATAACTAATTCCAATTTTTCTAAAACAATGGACAAGCCAAACAAAATTTGTCTATAGGCCTTATCTAGCACACAGGCTGCCTGTTTGCGACCTCTGCCTTACACTTCCCTCCCCGCTATCCTTCACCTACTCTGTCCTTCTGCCTAGAAAGCCCACCCCATCTTTCTTTCAAAGTTATATTCATCTTTCAAGACCCAAACTAAATCCCACTCCTCTAAAAGCCCTGCCTATCTCACCCCACTTACCGTCATTTCTCCCACTAAATTCATTCAAACATTTATTAAGCATCTACTCTCTGCCAGGCACTAAAAATCCCAAGGAGGAATAATGAAAATATTTATACTGAAAAGTACTCTAAGACTAGAAATTATTATCTATATAATTTATATGATAGTCAAATGTTATTATGGCATTTCTTCTTTGACTATCTCAAAGCTGTTGCTTAAATTGAGTATTATCTAACTTTTGGGCAATTTTACCTTCTCATAAACTAGATCATAGATAGCAAAGCATTAAAAAGTAAAGCATATAAGCTTTGGAGCCAAACAGATCTGAGTTCAAGTACCAGCTCTACAACTCTGTGACTTTGGGCAAGCCACTTAAGTTCTGAGTATTCGTTTCCATTTCTATTTAAAAAGAAAGAAGGGGCATAGTACTGACCTCACAGAATAGCTGTGAGGATTCAATGGGTTATCATATATGAAGTGCCTGGCACATAGTAAGTGCTCAAACTACTTCCCTTCTCCCCTTTACTTCCCCCTCCTTGGAAAAGGAATCATATCTTACATGTCTTTGTATTTCCAACAGAGTCTACGAGAGAGTAGGTGCTCAAACTGCTATTAATTTGAAGACTATGTATACGGTCTAGTACTAAAAAAAAATGGAAAGAAGTGCTACTGAGAAAGGGAAAGACAATAACAAAAGAAGTGACAGGATTCAGTGACTTTTAAGATATGGGGCAAATGGGAAAGAAATCTAGATTCTACTCCCATATGATAGAATTTGTTCTCATCAAGTGACCAATGGCCCCATTACCAAATCCAGTGGACTTTTTAGTCCTTGTCTTACTTTCTGCAGCATGACACTGTTGACTACTCTTCTTCTCAAAAAAAATCTCTTTTCTTGGTCTCTGATATACCTACAAACTCTCTGAAAGATCCTCCCTCACAGGCTCCTATTCTTCTTTCTGTCCCTTAAATGTTGGATTTCTTCAGGTCTCCATTCTTGGTCACCTTTCTCATCTATGTATTCTTCCCCAAAGTAAGATAATATATTCATATTATTTTGTATACAATTTGGATATTGATAATTCATAAAAAAGAAGCTTCAGTACAGATTTCTCTCCTACCTTTCTGACTCACACAGTGCATTTCCATTTGAATAAATCACAAGTATCCCAAACTCAACATATCCAGATTAAGTCATGTCCCCTGTCTTCCCCCCAATCAGTTCTTTTTTCAGTCTTTTATCTCTTAGTAAATTCAACCAGTTGCCTATCACAAAACCTTAGTTTCATCTTTCAGTTCACTCATTCCCTCACCATTCTCCCCATATCTACCAGCAAGTCCTCTTGACTCCACCTCTTTAATATACCCCAAATCCATTAGCTTCTCAACGTATCCACTACCAACACCCAAATCAAGCACTCATCTCTTTCCTAGTTTACTAAAATAGTTTCCTAACTAGTCAATTTGTTTCTATCCTTGCCTCCCTCTGATCTACATTCCATATTATAGATAGAGCAATCTCTCCAAAATGTATATTTTATTTCATTCTTTTAAAAGAAAAAGAACATGTCATTCGGAGTATGCATGATTGCATACACCCGGAAAAAAGGGGCCAGAGGATAACCTCAGGATGATCTAACCCCCATTTTCTGCTTCCCTCTTACGTTCTTGGCCCTTTGGCTCTGCTAATCTTCCTGTCCTGAGGTTATGAGAAACCGAAAAGAAGCAAAAACAGAGCTTTGGGGAATTGCATACACTTATGGGGCAGAAAGAAGAAAATATTATGATAAAGATTATCTTTTTTAAAAGCAGGGAGGAATGGTTAAAGATAAAAGAAGAAAACCAGGGTAATAAAGCATTAAATAAAAGCCCAGAGAAAAGAGAATTTTGAGAAGGTAGGAAATCTTGGAGCTGTCAACAGTGTTTGAGACTAAAATACTTCATAATCATATTTTTATTGACAAATTTACTATTCCAACAAACACATTTTAACATCCCCCCTAATAAATTAATAACATCATCATTCTGTATTCTTACTTCAAATTTCCAAACACAGTAGGCTCTAAATTTAACAAAATAAAACTGGACTTTTTCAAGAAATGACAAACTAGGAAAACACTAAAACATTAAAGTCAATGTAAATTTTAAAAGAAGTACTCTTTTGCTACTTTTAAAGAAATTAGCAACTGCATAAAAGGAATATCAAGTAAAAAGCAATGCACTATAGGAATTTTGAACTAGTCTATATATTTAGCAATAAAACAGACCTTTCTTCAATAATAACAAACTAGCTAATGATGATATGCTAAAGCATTAAAGCCAACATATTTTTAAGTATACTTTTACTACCTTTAAGGAGATATAATAATTGCTAACAAAGTATATTAATAAAGCTCCCACTTGAGATATCCTTAAGGACAAGAGCCCATCCACAGTGCCTAACACACAGAGAAGTTTCAGAAAATTACCCATTTAATAAATGGCCTACTTTAGTGAATAGGATCCACATAATTTGCAACATTCTGTTCATAATGATGCTGTTAGATTATGTTGAAATTACTTTAAGCAGTTTGAGTAGTTCCAAAATTTTGGTTGTGAGTCTGTTCATTGGATTCAATAATAAATCAAGTCTGCTGATCAGTTAAAATCAGAAACATCACTGGGATTAGAAAGGGGTTCTTCAACAAATTGTGCAGAATTTTAAACACAAAGAAAAAGGAGTCTGCCAGGAATTGTTCAGAGTAGTGTTCATAGATTGTGATATAATAAACAGAAGTTGAGCACAGATTGGTATTCCAGCTCTAATGTTTACTAGCTAAGTGAAATTAATTTTTAAGTTGTACTTTTGTTATCTATTAGAATAAAGTTAATATGAGGACTAACACAAATAAAACAGAATACAAAAGCCTGGCAAATGACAGTTGTTCAATAAACATTTGCTTCTTTAATCTACTGAAATCATATAGGTTCTAGGCCTAGATATAACTTGGAAGAAAAGAAAAATTTCAAAATCTATCAAATCAAGATAGAAAGAAATGTGAATGGATAGACAGATTTTCCAGAAGCCCGATATAGGTACAACAGGCCATTGAACAATATCTTGTCCAAAATTTTTGACCAATATCGAAACCAAATGACATACTCATCAAATGTACAAACTGCATAAGGCTGGAAGGATAGATAATATACGAGAGAGTAACAATGAACATAGGATCCAAACCCTTTACTATAGAAAAGGAAATGAAGAAACACAGATCAGAGAGACAGTGACTTGTTTTGAATTTTACAGTTAACATACACAGGGTGCAGAAATATATCATGGGATAAAGCAAAATTTAGTAATAAGCATTCATACTTAGGTTCAAAATATTAACTGCACAAGACCCAGAACAATATGTTTTAATAACAATATATCTGAAGAGGAACTGGGGCTTTTTAGTATGACTCAGTGTAATGAAGGTCATTCCATAAAAGAAGATGGGGGTTACTCTGTTACTAATAGCAATGTAATATCCAGAATAAGAGATGTAATAGGCCTACTCTGCCCTGATCAGACCACAGCTACATAAGAAAAATGTAAATAAGTTTGAACAAATCCTTAAAAATACTTCCAAATTATGTCAAATGAAGAATAGATGGAGGAACTAGAGATGTTTAACTTAAGAAAGACAAGATTTGGGAGGCAGGGGATGACTAGGATAAACTGAGACACTGAACATCTTCAAACATTTGTAAAGCTTACAAGAACAGAAAGAAAACCAGCTAATGGAAATGAGGGAAAATAGATTTGGATCTCTGCTTAAGAGACAGCTTTGTAGTCATCAAACCTGCCCTAATTATGAAAGTGAATACTATACTCCAAGCCCTATAAGAACAGAAATAAGGTTTTCTTCTCCTTTTTATCTCAGAATCTGGACAATAACGTGTTTAAAAGATGTTTACTATTCTTGAAACCAGAGTGAGACACTATTCTTATGGGTGACTTATCCCTAAAAACATTCAAGATGCTAGAAACACAGATCAGGAATATTTAAAGGTCAGGTATGTAATGCCTCCTTCACTTGGAAGTCAAAGACCAAGGAAGGAAGAATCCAGAAATGCTTGGATGCCACAGAATGAAATGACATTGCAGCTCACAGACAGAAGGGCTCTCCTAGGATCCTAGATACACTGGCCTGGTGGCCATGGCAACCCAGCAAGTCTATATACTAACATTTCAACCATAAAGAGCAATAAGATATTTCCCATGTCAGAATAGAAAACTCCAGTGAGACCATCTATGTGTATCTAGGATGAGAATATCAGGTTAATTTCCATTCTTCCCACCCCTGTAGTTTACCTTTGAATGAGGACAAGGACTAACTACAGCTTCAAAAAATTTTGGATTTTATTTATGCTTCTTAATACCTAAGAATTTCCCTTTGTACAATAACAATTAAAAACAAACACTCTTCCCCCAAAACAAACAAACACAAAGGACCCTATGCTGGTTAAGAAATAGCAGGATAAGCAAGAAGTTGGAAGAGGGCATCCCACTTTGTAAGCAAACTAGAAAGCAAAAAAGCCTTCCAAGAGAGTGAGCAGTAAGAATCAGAATTAGGCCACATTTCTCTGAGGAGAAATGCAAAAAGGGGAACATGCTCCAAAAATCCTTCAACCTCTGCATTCCCAAGCTATGCAACCAAGTGTGTTATGCAGATTAATAGTTAAGATCACCTCACTTTACAATAAGATAAAACATCTTACTTGTTGCACCAAGCCGACGTGTGTCTCTGGCAATATAATTTGCAAAGATAATAGACCTCATGCTGGTCTTACCAGACCCACTTTTACCCATCAACAGCACCTAAAAAAGAAAGAAAAATGTTAACAATCTGGAGTAAATCTAGTGTAACAGGACCTATTTCTCTCCTGTATTTGGCATTTTAGTGAAATAACAGTATCAACAATCTGGTGTAGATACTTGTAACTAACTAAACTGTTTCCCAACCAATGGTGAATGCAGATATATCTAGCATTCCAGAAGCCAAGTGCTTACCTGTCACAGGTCACACATCCTTTTGGCTACAGAACTACAGTGATTTTATGTTTTTTGTTTGTTCTGTGGTAATGGGGATCAAACCCAAAGGGTTCTTTACCACTTTACATTCTGTCCCTTTTTTATACCTTTATTTATTTATTTTTATATGGTGCTGAGGATCAAACTCAGTGCCTCACACATGCTAGGCGAGTGCTCTACCACTGAGTCACAGCCCCAGCCCCCATTCTGACCCTTTTTAAAATTTATTTTTTGAGACAGGGTCTCATTAAGTTGCCCAGGCTGACTTCAAACATGTGATCCTTTTGCCTCAGCTTCCCAAGTCACTAATTACAGGTGTGGGCCAAAGCACCCAGCTGAATTTATGTTATTAATATGTAATATTCTTAGAACTAGATTAGAAAAATACCATCTCGAGAGGAAATTAAACCCGATTCTCCTATAATCTAATGTTTTATGCACTGAACTACTTAGCAGGAGATTTAGCATAATTAAAATTTCTTCCTCCTCCGGCTCAAGGTCAATTCTTCTACCTCTCTGGAGCACTTGAACTTTTCCCTTCTACTTCCCTCTATGATTTTGTTTCACTAATTACTCTGTCTCTCTTTTTTTTAATATTTATTTTTTAGTTATAGGTGGACACAATATCCTTATTTTATTTTTATGTGATGCTGAGGATTCAATCCAGTGCCTCACACATGCTAGGCAAGTGCTCTACCCCAGCTCTCTGTCTCTTCTTTTTATAAGTTTCCCATGACCTACAGGATTAAGGCTTTAAACTATATATAAGCTCTAGCCTATCTACTACACTATCTTCATCTCCTGTCCATCTGAGCTAGAACTTTTAGCAACCAGCCACACTGAACTGAGAACAGCTTATAGTCTCTGTTACCAGCCCTCCATGGAGTCTTGCTTCTATGTCTGTTTTATACTGTACTCTCTCCCAGCAATGTTCCATTCTTTGTTCTTTCTACTAAATGTCACTTGGTTTAGTAATCATCTGCTCAAGAAGATTCTCTGACCCTAAAGCCCTAGGCTGACTTAGGTGTCTTATCTCAGTCTCCCAATTAAACTGTTTTATCATTGCAAAGGACATAATGTATTGCAGTTACTCACTTTTCAGCCTGATTCTCACAAGACTCTAAGTTCCCAAAGGGCAGGGAGAGTCCCATTTATATCTCCAGTGCCTAACATATGATAAATGCTCAAAAGATGTTCTTCAAAGAATAAACAAGCTTCAAAAACAAAGATAAAAAGGAGAGCTTCTAACAATGAAGAAGTTTCCAGTGGAAATTGTGGCCTTATGAAGGTAAATAACTTTGTTATCAATGTTAGCATTAACAGAGAGAGAAAAATACCTGTCAAGAATGTCATATATTCTTGTATTTGAAGGGAATTGGATAAAATGACTTTTTAGAGTCCTTTCAAATCTAAAATTTATAAAATACTGTTCCAATTACCTTGCTTTTCAAATGTAATGGATACACATTTTACTTTCAATCACAGATATTTTATAAAAATTTCTGATTACAAATGTAAGGAGTATTAATGAAAATGTACTGCACTCAGGTTTGTACTACACTCAATCTAACACATTCTCTGTGTAACTTTATCTAATTAAGAAAATTTCACTACTGAGCCAGCCAAAAATCTGTACAAAAAAGGGATTTTCTGTTATTTAAAAAAATATTTTAACTGAGAAACAGTTAACTATATATATTTCTGGGGTACAACATGATATTTTGCTACATTTATATATTATGGAGTGATTAAATTAAGCTAAATTTTGTTTTTAATCATGTAAAAAATTCTGGTATTTTTAGGCATCCTTGTTGATAAGGCTAAACCATGTTAGACCCTAAGTGCTCTACAGGCATTTTATTCATTTACATTTCACAACTACCTATGAGATGGGTGATTTGTAAAATCACCATTTCACAAACGATACTGAAGCCTCGAAGTTTAAGAAATATGCTCTAGAGTTGCACTCTTAAGAATTCTGCCTAAACCCCAATGTGAGGCATAGAGCCATAACAACATAAAAGGAAGAGTGGACAATTCCAGTTGGAGAACTGATGTAAGATCTTATAGTGTAACATTTTGATTTGGGTTGAAAATAAATGTGCAGGCAGACTCCTACATAGTGGGTGTATATATGGATTCACCCATTCAGATTTATATATTTTAGAAAAATAAAAAATCTAATGGCACAGTGAATAAGAATCAGGAAGGTTCCTGCAATAGTCCAGGAAAGATGGTATATATCCACTCTATGGTTCCTGAATGACTATTTCTTACCTTTACCATCATGTTTCTGATGTACCTAACACATCTTACCTTTTTCTTCATGGCTGTATTTGGTAGCACCCACCTGTAGACATAAACCAAAAGACAAGAGTTCCCATGATCCAATTGCCTTAGAAACTGAAATTAAAGAAATATAAATAAATGTGCAGGAGCAAAAGAACATGTTTAATTCAACAGGTGAATGCAGCTGTGTGGGGAACCTCAGTAGAGTAACAGCCCTCATAAACTACAAAACTGGGTTCATGCTCTTGTCCCCTAACTACAACCTCTGGCGACAGCTCCTAGGAGAATATATTTAGGAATATAAATGAGTTATTAAAATTTGACTTTTCCTCATCTTAAAAAATTGATCAACAACATATACAGGTGGTGTAATAAGTCAAAGAACATTTTCATATTTAAATATTATATATCAAATCTTATATTTTTTAAAATTCGACTTTCTGTTTTTAAAATCTGGAAGCATCCTTGGACCTTGGCAGTCTTCCAAGATGTATGTCACTCATTAATGGCACAAAATACATATAATACAAGTCTCAAATTCAGGTACAAATTGGCACAGAAAACACTCTAGGCCACTGGTCTCTAAGAAATACTAGTCCTTTTATCTCTTACATGGTGAGATCTAATCGCCTTTTATTGATAATTCAAAGCAACCGTCTCAATTAGAACACCCACATGCCCCTTCCCAAGGGTTCACTGCCCAATTGGCACCAGTCCCTTTTTCAGTTTATTATGTTGTCAAAAGTATATCAATCAACCCTACTGATGAACCGAAGCAATTTATCATGCAATTTATCATGGGGGTGGGGTGTTCTAATTCACAATACTCTTCAGTTCAAACACCCTCCCTTCCAGGTTTGACACAATACCCTTCACCCACCCAAGCGAGCCTTCCGGTTCCCCTAGTGGAGGATCCATTCGCGGCCCCAGATTCTCTTTCTCCATCTTTTTCTCAGAGTCAGATTCTTCCATCGTGCAACAAGTCCTTTCCAGTCCCTTCTAAATCCGCAGTACTCTTTTTTTCTCGTTCACCCCCTCAACTGCCTATTCTCATTGACTGCGGCCCTCAGGCCTGCTCTATTCTTGCCTCTGCCTTTGTCCACTGGGGGGCCGCTTTCCCCACCGTTACCTTTACCGCCCCGAACTTGGCCTCAAGGCACGGCCAAGCAGGCCAGCCAAAAACCAAGCGATTCAGTGGTGCAAAGGAAGAGATGGAGGAATAGAGGAAAAGACAGGTAAATTGGGGAGTCTCCCCGATTTGGGGCCTCACGCCGCAAGGTCTCGAAACCCAAAAGTGATTTCGCCCTCAAAAAGGTGGGGACCGCGAAGGCGGAGGTCGCCGAAAGAGATGACCCGGTGCCGTAGGCACTATGCGGTGAACGCCTCAGCCGCCAGGTTGCTCGCTCCTGGCCGCCCGGTTTAGTCCGCCAGCGGCGGCGGCGGCGGTAACGACCTAACCGCCCGCCCTTCAGGATCCCAGGTACCTCACCGCAGCCACCCGACTGCAGGCCAGGATCACGTGAGCACCTGTCGTAAACCCGGAGTCTGACACGTGACTGCCGCTGCCCAAGGGGCGGGTGGGCTGGGAAGAATACCATAGAGACTACTCCGGGAAAGCCAGAGTGTCGCTTGTCGCCATCACGTGGCATTAGCTCTTAACTTCCGCGCCACCAGCCCCACAGGCTCTGTGAGCCTGCAGGCTCTTTAAGAGTGTGCCGACCTGCTCCCCTGCCCCCAACCGCTAAGGAGAATTAAAGGAGATGACTGTATTTCCATGTCTCCAGGCTAGCCATTTTTACTGCTAGTTACCCTTAAGGGATCTTGGCAGGGAAGGCCAAGCGTTTTTTAACTTCCTGTCTTTTGTTGTTAGTCCCAGTAACCGACCTTGCAATTAGGTGCATTAAATATCTAAATCTCTTAAAACTGAGACTTTCCCAATAAATTATTATTGCTGGGAGCAGGGATTCATGTGGGGTTTTAGTATTCCCATTCATCTCCCCACTTTTTAAAAAATATTTTGGCAATTTAAAATTTTTTGATTAATATGTAATATTTGTACATATTTATGGGGTACAGTGTAGGAAATAAGTTCTCATATCACTATAGTAAGAAGTAATAAATATAATATACATTTATATATTATATATTGCCGTGTGCATATATTACTTTGATAAGAAAATAAAGGAAGAGAAACAGCACACAAAAAGGGTACTCTCTGCTCCCATATTTTCCCATTTGAGTTCCTATATGATTTTTTGTCCCCATAATTGGCATGCCACTGATACTGCCGGTTATCGGTGATGAGTCCTGCTTCCCCACATGTTTAAGTTTGAACATTAGAGAAGCAGGCTGAGGCAAGCATATAAAGCAGAGTTTATTCAAAAAGGGGTAACAGACTTCTGGGAGGGAGAAGGGGGCCATAGCTGGTATCCTGATATCCCAAGAAGCGAGGTGTTCTGCCCTTTTTATAAGCCCTAGGCTTCCTTTGTTCTTCTGACTTTCCCCCTTATCTTTCTCCTTCCTGCCTACCTGACTAGACCCAGGAATGCTTGGTGGGATGGCCCCAAGGTGGGAAACGGGAGAGTGGAGGGGGAAGGGCAACACTGATTAACAAAGGGCATTTTAACAACCTTTCAGCTCCCTGTAAAGAGGGACAATTCCTGCTACAGGTTACCTTGGCAACAGGTTGCAGCAGGCACAGGTTCTTGATAAGGGTGGAGGAAGGGCTCTGTAGGAATTAACATTTCAATCCCTCAGGGGACAAGTCTCCAACTTCCCAGACTCACTCAAAATTGACCTCCCTGGTCCGACCTGACTCAATTTACCATCTATACTGACTGCCTGTCTAATTCTGGCTTAACAATAACAACAATAAAAATATTTTTTTCTGAAATCCCATTTCTTAGCCTTATCACTTGCTAATCTGTCTCCTTCCATCAGCTATCCCACACACATTCCTATTCTAGCTTTTCCTGTCTGGTGAAAGACCTTAAATACAAAACCAGGATTTCACTTTAGATTTGCTGCCCACCATGCAAGTCATTGAGACCAAGTCATTTTTAGTTAGATTTCTACAATGTGTGTACACCTCCCTGGTCTGAATCATTGAAATAGCCTCCAAAGTGGTTTTCCTACAGTGGCAACTCTAAATGGGTTGGAGGTGGGAGGAATACTTTTTTATCAAGTCATCTCATATACCCCAACATGAAATACGTGCTTGTTTTGTAAAATCAGCTTTCAAACATCTTTCAACCCCCAACACATTCCCCCGATGTTTTACCTGCTAAATTGCTCCCTTAAACTACTGTTTATAGAAATTTAATGTCTCCCAGCTACTTCAGTTTTCCATTTCCTCCTCTCTCCAACCATCCATTCTTTCTACCGACTGCTTGAGTGACCTTTTAAGTTCAAATCAGTGAAGGCTATTTTTCTGCTTTAAAACTCTTGTATAACTTAGGGGGAAAGTGTATCAACACAAGGAATTTCAAGACCCAGCTTATAGCAACTTTACCAACTGCATTTCTCCACCCACTCTCACCAACTCCGTCAAGCTTCTTAAGGAATTGCTAGTGTTTTCTCAATGTGCCAAGAGGCAAGAAGAAAGAGGAGACAACATCTGACAAAGAAGGGGAGAGAATGTATGAAGTAGAAAAGAGAGAGAAGTGGGGAGATGGAAAGAGGTAAGGAAGAGAGGGGAAAGGAGAAGAGGAAGAAGGAGAAATTGGGATTAGAGAAAGGGAGTTGAAGAAAGAGAATGCAAAAGATTTAGGAATGAAATTAAATTAAGGGTTGATTCCAAAGAATGGTGAATAAGACTATTGGTATAATGCATTCCTGTATTGTCTAGCTGTTAAGATACTGGTTTCTTCTAGGTGCCTTTGGCTGCTTTATTTTTACACTTTCATTAAGAAACTTATCATAAATAGGGGATGAAGTTCACTTTTTATTATTGTCAAAATAACTTTTTAAAAATTTTTATTATAGATTATTTTCAGAAAATGTTGATTAAGGTCTTTTATTCTTCCAACAAGCACTTATGGAGAACAACCATTCATTGCCAGGAACTTTGATGGATGACAGGGTTACAAACATCACTCTATTTTGTACCCAATATTTGTCAAGTGTTCCTGTCTTAACACCTTAGCTCTACTCTATACACACACAGATACACACACATACAATCAGTCTTCCGTTTGTCCAAATCCCAATATGGAATTTTTTTTCAGTCATACATCTCAGGTAGAAACATACTAAGACCTTTAACAAAGATTCCACTAAGATCTCAGTTTCCTTATAATCTCTAAATTAAATCTAGTTATGTTTACCCTTAAACCCACTCTTAGGTCTCCAGTACTCAAATTGCTATTCATAACCTGCCTACCATTTTCCTTCGCCACCCTACTCTTCTTCTTTTTCCATTGTTCACTACTATTTTCCAGAGCCTCACAATTTCATCCCTACACCCTGCTGGTAGCTTTTACCTCCATATCCCCATTCCTTGGCTTGAAATATAATAAAATGTTTCTCAAGTTAATTAGACTTAAAGCTTTAATGAATGAAAATCTGGTGGAGGAATTTTTGGTTTCCAGTTCTGCATGTAAATAACTTAAAACTCACTCTTCATGCTAACAGTAAGTTAAAAAGCTCAACAAACAAAAAATCAACAATTATTCTTAGATTCTTCAGAGAAGGAAAGTCACAGGACAAAAAACACTATCCAGACCCAAATAGGAGAGGCACATAAGCAAATATACATAATGAGAGCTTTTCAGAGTAGAAACCCACAAGCACAAACCTTTAATGGAAAAAAAATAGACAGCATTTAATGGAAAAGATGGATGATATAAACAGGGATATGAAGTTCTAAAAAAGAATTTAAAATGCTATAGATCAAAAACAGTAAGGTAGATGGGTGCAGTGATACAGGTCTATAATCCCAGTAGCTCAGGAGGCTGAAGCAGGAGGATTGCTGCTTCAAAGCCAGCCTCAGCAACTTAGTGAGGCCCTAAGCAACTTAGCAAGACCCTATCTCAAAATAAAAAATACAAGCTCTTTTTATTTTATGTGATTACACGCTTGGGCCATACCATCTTGCAGGACCAGGTATTAAAGACTCCACACCACCTCTCAGCATTGCCACACTGAGGACCAAATTCCTACATGTGAAGTCTTAGGTATCAAACTCAAACCATATCCAAATCATTAAAATGTATACCACAAACTCTAGAACAATTGAAAAAGGAAAAGAAGAAGGAAAAAAAAAAAAATATATATATATATATATATCATCATATGCTAAAAAAAAGATGGAATCGTAAAATGTTCAATTGAAACCACAAATAATAAAAACAAAGTATGAAGACAAAAATTGGACAAAAGAAAACAGGACAAGAAATAAATAACAGTAACAAATGTGGTATGTATTAGTCCAACTTTATTTATTTATTTATTGCAGTGCTGGTAATCCAACCCAGGGCTTCACACATGTTGGGAAAGCACTCTACCACTGACCTAGCCCCCCAAACCCTCTCAGTAATCAATTTAAGTGTCAATGGTATAAATAAACTAAAAGAGATTATCAGAGCAGATTAAATAAACAGATCCAACTACTTATTATCTACAATAAACTCGCTTTAAACACAAAGACACAGGAAATAGGGGAAGATTTACCATGCAAGCACTAATCAAAATGACATGTAATTGCTATATTAATTTCAACAGTGTAGATTTCAGAGTAAGCAAATTTATCAGGGATAAAGAGAGGAATTACTTAATTTTAAAAGGATCAGTACTCCCAAGGTGACATAACAATCTTCTATTTCTGTGAATGTAAGAATAGAGTGTCAAATCAAAATATCTGGTGTAAAAACTGATAAAACTGCAAAAAGAAATAGACGAACCTACTATTATAATTGAGACATTAACACATCTCCATCATAAATGGAGAGATTCAACATGTACTGAAATTTCTAGCAAGAGCAATTAGGAAAAAAGAAAAAAACACAACATAAAAGCCCTCCAAATTATAAAGGAAGAAGGAAAATTTGGTTTTCATATGATATGATTTTATATGTTAAAAAAAAAAAGAAAACTAGGGCCAGGGTTGTGACTCAGTGGTAGAGCACTTGCCTAGCATGGGTGAGGCACTGGGTTTAATCCCTGGTACCACATACAATAAACAAATAAAATAAAGGTATTGTGTCTACCTACAACTACAAAAATATTTTTTAAAAAAACTAAAGAGTTCATGAAAAAAAGATTGTTAGAATTAATAAACTGCAAATATTGAAAGATACAAAATCAGTGTATAAAAATCAGTTCCATTTTATATACTAAAAATTATTTTTCCAAAAATGAAATTATGAAAATAATCCCAGTCACAGTATTATTAAAACAGAATAAAATACTAAGGACAAAATTTAACCAAGGAAATGAAAGACTAGTACACTGAAAATTGTAAAATGTTGGTGAAAGAAATTAGCAGACACCAACAAATGGAAAGATATCAGAGTTTCAAAGATTGAAAGAATTAATACTGTTATAGTCTATGAACTACCCAAATTAATCTGCAAATTTAATGAAATCCCCATCAAATCAGAAAG